AACAGTTTGAGACCACCACTGCACTACCATTACCACGGAGACTATTCACTGCAAATGTAAATCTTGTCCACTCAAGTCTAAAGCCACGAGCCACAAAGCTCTTCTTAAAGTAGGAAAGCCATAAATAGATAACCGTCAAATTATTAATCTGCCTGGCAAACAATTACAAGAGGTCGCTGTGTGTGGAAAGCTTGAAACCCTCTCCTCACGTCCAATTTTAATTTTTCAATTTAGAGGCAAGCCTTCACTCGTTACTGTCACTTGCATGGACCCTCACTCACCCAACAATTAATTTATGCTTGTGACAAAATATTGTTTTCTGATACTTGGAAATGATACCAGTTTCTTCTTCTTTTTTTCCGTATTTTTCATTTTTATGTTAAGTTATTTTGTTATTACAAATTTTTGTAAAAATGTTTTATTATCATTAATATTTTTTTTCCAAAAAAATCAATTTAATTTTTTCATGTTCCATAATGTTTTACGTTCCCTTTTTTCTTTGTTTTTTGTTTTTTGTTTTTTTTCGGGGGAATACATTTTCCTTGAAACTACCAATTTTTGAGGATTTTTTAAAAAATAAAAACTTGACAAAAATATGTTTCAAAATGGTTTTCTATAAAGATCATCATCGTATGATTACTCCAAACAGCAACATTTTTCAAAGACAGTACAATATCTATCCAATGCCACACAACTTGTTTTGAAACCGAGAACGCAGAATAATTAAAAACAGCGTAAGAACTATGAAAGAATGGCTAAAACCGTTGACCGGTCGATACAACATGGCGCTTCCTCCATATGTTTCTTTGTAAAATGACTACTTTTGCTTTGAGTTACCTTTCAAGCTTGTAAATCCAGCATCTTTCCTCCACAGCACCCTACACTTGAAAGTTCAACTGTTTGAACATTGAGCCTCGTGGTTCGTTGCAGAACTCAGCGAAAAAAACGGCTAGACCCGAGAAAAATCCCCAAAATATAACCAAAGCTGAAGGATCTTCCTGTCCCCTCGCCATCATTAAAGTTCACGTGCCGTTAAGGTCCATAATATATCGAAAATTTGACTAAAATTGACCAAACAAACAGCTGTACATGTCATGTCGCCCATGTTGTTCTCGTCTTTGATCGAGTCACCACAGGTCACCCAAGACTAATGGTGATGCCCGCTGACAATTTTTTTCCCTCCGTCCGATTACCAGTTAAGGGGCCGTATGCCAAAACAACAGATATTTAAATGTAACATTCCTCGTTCTGTAAGCCATAAACCACAAAGAACTGCGCTTCAGATATTTTATTCCTCGTTCTATAAGTTATAAACCAAAACAAAAGAGCACGCGGTCAATCGCTACTGCAGCTACTGAAAAGCCTGCTCTAAATGACAATAAATATAATATTTGTCTTTCTATAAGCCATAAAACCAAGCAAGTGCGGTGCATTTCAACAGAAATATTCCTCCTTCTATAAGCATATCCCTCACTGTATATCGATCACCGACATTAAGATCTAAGTTGTGAAGAGATAGGTGATTGAGTGACCAGACGGAAGAAACCGTCTGCACAGTAATTTTTAGGGAGTTATTATAACTTCAAAGATGGAGTAAAAATTTTAGGTACAGGATAACCCCTTTTTTGGGATTACTTTAACTCCTAATTTAACTCCAATTTGGGGTCATTTTTACTCCTGAAAAAGAGTTATTTTTACTCCCAGTCTAGAGTTAAAATAACTCCAAAAATGGGGGAATTTTTACTATTTAAATGGGTTGTTTTTACTCTTTTTGGAGTTACTTTAATTCTGAAAGTGGAGTAAAAATTTTAGATGCAGGATAACTCCTCTTTGGGGGTTATCTTAACTCCTCGATATCTGGGGTCATTTTTACGCCTGAAAAAGGGTTCTTTAAACTCCTTTTTGGAGTTAAAATAACTCCCCAAAAAATAACTCCACTGTAAGGAGTTAAATTAACTCCACTAGAGGAGTTATTATAACTCCTTAAAATTACTGTGTGGGGCCAGGCTCCACAGGGTAAATCGTGAAGATAACTCAGTAGCCAAGCAAACTAAAAACAATGACTAAAGTAGAGAAACTGCTTTAAGTACTTGTATTCATACGCAAGCAAACTAATGAACTGTGCGACAGGAAAAGGGGTTACAGTATAAGGCCAAAGATAAAAGGTGTCGGCAAGAGAAATCAGAAAACTTGGTGGTAAAACAACATCGGGAACGCGAATAAGCTCTAGTGAGACAATATATGCTCTAGTGACAAAAAAAAAAGGATGGGTAATACCGCTGGAAACGAATACCTTTCAAGGCTGCATGTCCGTCAAACTCTTCAACTCTCTACGTGCTCCAATCAAATCTTGTACAAAAATACGAGAAATACGAGAAGATATTGGACGCAGCGGACTTTCCCAGTCGTGAGAATTGTTCCTTCATAAGGCTTAATGATGCCCTCCGGAAAACTTTGCTCAATGCAGCCAAATAAAACTCTAAGACAACCCACTATGAGAGCCGAGTTCAGTGTAATAAACGCGCTGATTTCAAACTGACATACAGAGAGAATTATGGGAACTTATGTGGTAGGTTAATAGCCAGTGAGAAACTCATCAGAGTCCATCTACTGCAGCCTATTCAGTACATATTCGGTACAAATTAAATAAATAAAAAGTAACTATGAAAAAAAAATCATGCTTCACTACAAAATTAAGACTAAATCAGAAGGTATAGGCGAATCTTTGTTTACACTTTTTCCCTCATTAACATATGCTTAACACTAGTGATGATGCCAATGAAATAAAAACTCTGAATGTTAAAAGGGCATAACAGTATCAGTTATCTCTGAAAATTGAGTCCAATACATCGAATGGTTTCGGAGAAATTCTCTTCTAAAAACTCGAAATTTTACAGGGAACGTATGGCTCATTAACTTTTTTGCCACACAGCAATTTCGCAGTTTTTGATGGCAGATATTTCCTTCAATATTGCTTGCAAAAAGCTGAAAATTGCACAAATTGCTCAACTTAATCAGCTCTTTTAGTTTTTACATTTAGTTTATAGATACGGCAACGGCTTCTATGAGTTAAGTCGTATGCTAATGAGGAAAAACGTAAACAATGACGTCAGCAAACATTCCCCTATATGAGAGAGATTTCTATAGCCATGTCTTTGAAATCCAGTCAGATATATTATATATTTTATATTTCAGTACAGCAGATGTAGAGTCATTTTTATGGAAATGCTGTGATTAAACCATGATTATTATTATTATTGTTGTTGTTGTTGTTTTGGGCCTTTACCTTAGTTACCTTTACTATTATTATTATTATCAATAGCAATCCTATACCTATCAAAAAGACGAGTAAATGTAAAACTACACTAGTGATTTACCCTAGTAATTGAACACTCCGAGGTAATTTGACTTCAGTATTAGCCATGGAGACCTTTCTAGACACTAATAAACTTAAACCAATCTGACAAAAGAATTACAAAATACAACTGTGTAACTAATAGAACAGTAAAGAACTACATTAAATTGCCAGTAGACACGCCTCTAAAGTACCTTTGTCACATATGGTATAACAATGAAAAAAGCAGAAATTGACTACGGATTCCTGATATTTTTCAAGTCACTATAAAACAAGTTTCAACTGCACACGACTGGTCGTAAACTAAGCTACGAAACGTACACTGTAATTTTCTGACTACAAAAAACTTCAACTTATTTATAAACAGCATATAGTTTTATCTTCGGGAAAAAGTGTTCCTATTCTTGGGAGGAACGCTCCACTTCGTAATCCCGGTGCCATTACAAATTAGAAACTGACTCCAACTGAACTTCAGATAATTAGGAACTGCTTCACTGCATTCTTCATCGTACCTATACAATAACAACAACAACAAAAACAGCAAAACGCAACGTTAGCAAACTATCAGAAGAAAAGGATAGTGATTTCAGCTAGCGAAAAAACATTTTGACAACTGACTTCTGAGAGTGCGCTCGATTGATCGTATTCCAGAGGTTTTGTTACAAACCTCTTACCATAATGTTTGGACCATTTAAAGTTTATATAGATCACAATACTTTATTTCTATCATTTTTGTAGATATTGCAATACAATGAAAGCTAAAACAAGTGATTTCTAGCGAGTTTATTCCATTTATTCCTATTTGGGACGCGGAATACGGTGAATCGAACACGCCCTTAAATCTGTTAGAGCAAAGGGTCACATTTAAACTGGTAACTTCAACCAACGATTAGACTAATTATAGATTTAAAGAAACTCGCATGCCATAAATCCTCTATTAAGCCCCCTCTCTAATAAGCTCCCTTTTTCAGGGAAAGAAAGTTATTAAACCCCCTCTCTCTTTCAAGTTCCTTCTCCCATTTCTTATATAATAGACGTACAATAGATGTATTAATTTACCACGACTATAACACTTCATGTGGACTGATCATCCAATATGATTTTTTCACGAGCTGGAAGTTCGGATTTGATTTTGATCTTCGGTTTGATGACCTCCAATTTCATGTGCCTGAACGTTTCCACTTAGCGTTCTAGTTCTTTAATTTATAGAGAAATGATTCCAAAATCTTCGCTTAATAAAACAAGCCCCTCTCTCAAATGTTCTTTAAATGAATAAACTCCCGGAAAGCTCAATAGATTTGGAGACTGTTCCTAAGCGACCACCCTCCGTAAAATAAGCGACCCGGAATTTGATCTTAACATTTTGGGTCGTCACTTACGTCAAATTCGACTGTAAGTTCCCATGGAGCGAACTCAAACAGGTACACCAACACATTGAAATGTAAAGAAATCATGAGATTTGAAATAAATTTTGTAGTTTTTTTTGTAGTTGCTGTCAAACTGTGATAGGCAGATTGACGTTATAAGAGGCACCCCTTAAGTTGGTTCGTTACCCTATAAGCGACAAAAATAATTACTAATTAAAATGACGTTTGTAAAAGCAGGGATTATGATCCCAGGTTTAAATATATCCCAAAATACCTTCCTATTTAATCGATGCCTCAAACTCAAGAGTTGCGTCATCACCAATGAGAACAAACGGCGCCCAGTACTTCACTGCGTCAAAGCGGTCAGATTCTCTCATCGAATTCATGGCTTTATTTAGGGCCTCACTGGCACTTCGTCCATGGACTAAGTGTTGGTAGAAAACTTTCATGAACTCCATAGTAGCTTCGTCATCGATCGCCCACAGGGACACCAGAACAGAACGAGCACCAGCACCCAAAAATGCCCGTGCGATGCCGACCACACCCTCAGATTTGACTTCTCCCCGGGTACTATGACAGCAACTAAGTACAACAAGTCTTGCCCTAATCTGCGCCTTTAAAACATCTTGCATAGTTAAGAGATAGTCCTCCCTGGCTGGATTTCCGGATGATGAACGTGTTGTGTTAGGGGCCAAGGCAATTTCTCCTGTTTCCATTTTACCGTGAGCAGCAATGTGCACCAAAGCAACCGAGGAAATACGTCGCAAAACTTCATCTTTTGTTGCCTGCTTTCCAACAAGAGGCTCACTTTGAAGTATTTTCCCAATCATCTGTACTTCTTTTTCGGCCCACTCTAACTGCTTTAGCGTTCTTCCTTCATAAACTACTGCCTGTACCCACGGATCGCCGACGAGAAGAGCGCCAGTCTTGCTGTGCCAATCAGCTGGACTATTTTGGATTAATCGAAGACTAGAAAGTGAGGGAAGGAGACGAATTCTGAAAGTTTCACAGAGGTGCTTTGATTTTAAGTCCATGAAAGCAGCATAAGGCGCCAAACACAGAGGTCCTTGTGGAACGACCACAACCTCATCGCCCTGGAGTAAGTCCCTTATAGGGTCTATGACAACATTGTAAAATGTTTCTAATGATTTTGTCTCATAACATGAAGGATGAGACTTTGGCTTAATGGATCTTTCTTCTGCTACCTTTTTATCGTTTGGGTTCCCTAGCGAGCGATCTTCACAATTCACATCAGCTCTCACACCTATTTCTTCATGTGTAGTTTCCAAAAGAGACTGAAAATAGGTTGTGACGGAGTTATCGATCAGAGTTACTCTAGTTTTGATTTCTTTTCCTTTCTCGTTCACCCAGAGAACTATTCCTAACTTGTTGATACCTATGAAAGCTGTATTTGAAGGTAAGTAACTAGGAAAGTCACTTGGTCTCGCATAAAACGTTCCTATTTCTGGGCGTCGCACTTTAAGACCATACTTGTACTCCAGAAGATCTCTTAAAGCTTGTGCACGTCCTTGATCAGCAGTTAAAAGTGCCTCGATGACTTTACCTTGCAAAAACTGCAGCTCCCATAGCCTCAAATTAATATCACCATACGTATTCCCGAGGGTAATCTTCCATTCGTCATTAGATATGAGATTTCCTCTGATGTGGTCAAAGGCTATAACACTCTTCTTATAATACTCAACGGCTTTCTCAAAATCTTTAAGACTGTAATAGGCGTTGCCAAGATTACTGTACGCTATTCCTTCTCCTGCCCTGTCTCCCACCTCTTTCGAACTTTTGAAGTGTCGTTCGTGGTACTCTATGGCTTTCTGAAAGTCTCCAAGACTGTAATAGGCGTTGCCAAGATTTCCGTACGCTCTTCCTTCTACTGCCATGTCTCCCACTTCTTTCGAAATTTTGAGGCTTCGTTCATGGTACTCTATGGCTTTCTGGAGATCTCCAAGACTGTGATAGGCGTTGCCAAGATTACAGTACGCTCTTCCTTCTCCTGCCCTGTCTCTCACTTCTTTCGAAATTTTAAGGTGACGTTCATGGTACTCTATGGCTTTCTGGAAATCTCCAAGACTCTCATAAGCGTTGCCAAGATTACCGTACGCCTTTCCTTTTTCTGCTATGTCTCCCACTTCTTTCGAAATTTTCAGGTCTCGTTTATGGCACTCTATGGCTTTCTGGAAATCCCCAAGACTGTGATAGGCGTTGCCAAGATTACAGTAAGCTCTTCCTTCTCCTGTCCTGTCTCCTACTTCTTTCGAAATTTTGTGGTCTTCTTCATAGTACTCTATGGCTTTCTGGAAATCTCCAAGACTGAGATAGGCGTTGCCAAGATTACAGTACGCTCTTCCTTCTCCTGCCCTGTCGCCCACTTCTTTCGAAATTTTGAGGTGACGTTCAGTGTACTCTATGGCTTTCTGGAAATCTCCAAGATTTCTAAAGGCATTGCCAAGATTACCGTACACTATTCCTTCTGCTGCTCTGTCTCCCACTTCTTTCGAAATTTTGAGGTCTCCTTCATAGTATTCTATAGCTTTCTGGAAATCTCCACGACTGACGTAGGCGTTGCCAAGATTACAGTACGCTCTTCGTTCTCCTCCCCTGTTTCCCACTTCTTTCGAAAATTCGAGGTCTCGTTCATGGTACTCTATGGCTTTCTGGAAATCTCCAAGACTGCGATAGACGTTGCCAAGATTACCGTACGCTCTTCCTTCTCCTGCCCTGTCCGCCACTTCTATCGAAAATTTGAGGTCTCGTTCATGGTACTCTATGGCTTTCTTGAAATCTCCAACTCTGTGATAGGCGTTGCCAAGATGACAGTACGCTCTTCTCTTTCCTCCCCTATCTCCCAGTTCTTTCGAAATTTTGAGGTCTCGTTCATGGTACTCTATGGCTTTCTGGAAATCTCCAAGACTCTCATAGGCGTTGCCAAGGTTACCATACGCTCCTCCTTCTTTTGCTCTGTCTCCCACTTCTCTCGAAATTCTGAGGTGTTGTTTATGGTACTCTATAGCTTTCTGGAAATCTCCAAGACTGTGATAGGCGTTGCCAAGATTACAGTACGCTCTTCCTTCTCCTGCCCTGTCTCCTACTTCTTTCGAAATTTTGTGGTATCCTTCATAGTACTCTATGGCTTTCTGGAAATCTTCAAAAGTATGATAGGCGTTGCCAAGATTAAAGTACGCTCTTCCTTCTCCTGCCCTGTCTCCCACTTCTTTCGAAATTTTGAGGTATCGTTCATAGTACTCTATGGCTTTCTGGAAATCTCCACGACTGACAAAGCAGTTACCAAGATTACAGTACGCATTTCCTTCTTCTGCCCTGTTTCGCACCTGTTTGGAGATTTTGAGGTGTCGTTCATGGTACTCTAAGGCTTTCTGGAAATCTCCAAGACTGTAATAGGCGTTGCCAAGATCACAGTACGCTCTTCCTTCTCCTGCCCTGTCTCCCGCTTCCCTGGATATTTTGAGGTCTCGTTCATAGCAGTCTATGGCGTCCTTGATATCTTTAAAGTTGACCTTTTCGTCGCCAATATGACTATTCGCTTTTTCTTCCTCACTCCTCTCTCTAACTTCATTGGCAATCTTGTTGGTGTTTTCAAGATTACAATTCGCCTCTGTTTGTCCTTTCTCAGCCATTCCAATTACAAATTGCAGATAAATCTACTGCTTTTCCAGAAGACAGTTGTGGTTGTCACATTTTTGCTGGCTTTGTTTTTTCAGCTCTTCTGCAAAAAAGTATAGATATGTTGTGGTTTCATTTTTCCGTTGATACAGTATTTCTCTTTATATACGACAACGTACGATAACGGAGATTAAAAGTAAAATTAAAACCTGTAGAATTAAAGCTTACTTAGAATTAGCTCCTGTATCATTTGATTTTGTCTATCGCAGTCGCATTTGGTTTGCCACAAAAGAGTGATCCTCCTACGTGTTTTTTTTTAGCGTTGTGTAATATGACTTGATGGATTGGGGTCTTCTCCAAAACATAGGCACGTTTTACGTGCATGGGCTATTTTGAATGCTTCAGTATAACAGTATCGGCAATCTACCCTTTTAATCCTAGATTAAGGTTATGATTGAGCGAAATTGGGTATAGCTGCACATTAATGAATCATGATCCTCATACTATAGATTCACTTTTCTGTTTTTCCTTTAGACATCTGGTGCAAAATAAACAAATTGTTAGAGTACTACTGTGAATATCTACTCAACAAACGTTGCTTTAATAGACCTTGTCACGGTTTTCGACGCCATAATAATAATAATAATAATAATCAGTTTATTAAACCCTTTGGTAGTGTATAACACTAAATTACAAGGGAGGTCAAGAATACGCAGAACACATAATTACACATGGCACAGAAGGCAAAAACAATTAAATCCTATTGTAACTGTGGGTAACAAAATTTCTAAGGCGGTCCGTTCTGACAAAGAGGAATTCAGAACGGGAAAAACCCGACCTCAACCCGTACTCATGAGCGACATTCGTGGGCTGCGGCAGCAGGTGTGAAAGGAACCCGGACTCCTTGATGTTAGATATAAAACGCCGGCAAGCCTCATCACGGCGCGACAACAGTGTAGGCAAGCCACAGCGCACGAGTGCCGACTCATAAGAGCAATCTGGAAAAATTATTCCTAGTGCAGACTTCTGCACGCTTTCCACCAATTGAACCAGACAGTTGGGTAACGCGGCCCACACCGGTCATCTTGACTAGTAGGCAATTGCGTGAGAAATTCATAGTACAGTCTTTGTATGAGAATCTAATGTCGAATAATTTCCGTAGAACAGCTGTTCTGAAAAAAAATATGAATTGTAATTTAAAGCTTCACTCCTAAGGATTTTACTGAAAAAATTGACAGCGTTACATGCGCTAGAGGACCTAGAACCACTTTTTTAAAATTTTCTATCCATTTGTCTGTAAGAAAGTCCCGGGAAAAATTACAGACAAATCTAAAGCAAGCCTGTGGAGAAATTTAAGCACAGGTACGCCCCCAAAATATTTTAGGACAATTCCTTATTTTGTAGGTTTAGTTTACAATTCATATTTTTTTCAGAACAGCCGTTTTACAGAAATTATTCGACATTAGATTCTCATACAAATACTGTAATTTCTCACCCATTTGCCTACTCGTCAAGATAGCGTCGAAAACCGTGACAAGGTCTATAGGGTGACTACTCGAAGGTTTCAAGGTTTTTTCGAATACCGAATAGCTAAGAAGTGTCACGATTTTCATCATTCGTGGAGATGATTGCATCATCATTATTCACGAGGTTGTCACGTGCGATTCTACTTTAATGAAGCAGTCCTGAACTCTGCCAATTTAATTCTAAAATTGTTATAAGTTATTGCTTCTTAAGGTATCTGCACCGGCAAATTTTCAACATTTTATTTTGCCCTCAAAATCTTTCTACAGTAAGTTCAGATGATGTAATATGCATATCTGGTGTTCTTTTTTGAATACACCTTCGCATTCAAGAGAAAATCTACTCAAAAGTTGACTGATTTACCGGAAGTTAGAGAAAATTTTTCATTTCCGTTACTAAGAAAAAGAACGGCAGTAGCGCAATTTGACTCCTCTTTTCGGCATCAAGTTCTATTGATGCGCTGAACAAAATCTATTCACTGCTTGGATTCATTGACAAACTACAGCGGCTGTATGTCCAACTTGATTTTTCTTGCTTCTGTTAAAGCTGTGATGACTAATATTACTTGCTACTTGTCAATATTTGTTATGTTCTTGAAATATACTCCGTTTTCCAGGGCTTATTATTGTTTTAAATTTACATTACATCGGTGTGTCTTCTCACCTGATATATTCTGACAATTTTGCCGAGAGAGTAAAACGTTTTCTTGGCCCCTAATCCTCTGGTCTGTTTTTCTACAAATTTCTTTCACTTTACAGAAGCAATTCTTTTCATTTTTGAATAAGACTCTTCTTCAATCTTCATATTTCGGCGCGCTTCACTGCATTGTAGCTGACACTGAGTAACGCATCTTCCGGAAATGCGTCACACCTAGCAACTGGTCACGTATCAAAAACCAAGGGGGCTATAGAGAGGTCATTTGGCGTTTTCTTAGGCTTCCACGAGCATTTTACACAGCGGTGATTCAAAATGGCGGGCAAGAAGGTCTGTGATGGTAGTATCGAGCAAACACAGTTGATTTTGAGAAGAAAATAAGCTTTTTTACACTGGAAAAGCGTTAATTACAGCGTGATCGATTTACCTTGACTTACGGGAAGCAGTTTTTTGGAGGAATGGATCATTATATCTTCGTGAAATTTGGCAAATACACAAAGAGCATGTTGATGAACAGATCTGTGTTTGACCAAAGAATGAACTTACCATACGGCTGAGTTACTAAAGTCCAAAAAGGGATCAAATTACAAAACAACAAATTGCCCTCTAGAGGGCGTATTTCTCGGAGCTGTGTCTTGGTCAAACACAGGATTGTTGCTTTTTACGTCCCTGTTTGTGTTGCATTTCATTTTTCCCACAAACTGTTGTGGTTTTTGTGAAATTTGAATTCTTCTCTTTCCATGCCACCCCCAGGGGGTAATTAAAATAACACCTTTAGAGTGATGTAGCCTTACAATTTTTTCACTAGTTTTGTTCCTTATGGACCAAAGAACAATGTTATTGTCTAACATGTAGATAATTCTCTTACATTGGATGTCAGTGTATCACCTAAAATGTGCAGAATTTGCCGGTGCAGATACCTTAAAAGAAAAGAGCCTTTGCTTAGGCACTGGTTACAAAACTAAAGATATCTTCATACGTTCAAGTTACTATCATTACTGTCAAAAGCCAGCATGAGAAGTATAATCAGACAGTTTGCACGTGAAAGTGTCGGACTTCGACCCTTTCGTGGTTCGTACGTGAGTAGACTGCAAAACAGTCGGTTTTTTCTCAAAATCAGTAAAGAAATCGGTAAAGCGTGGCGTAAGAGTCTTACGCGCGCAAAGAGCGCGAGCCTCACACGCCCTACGGGCGTGTGAGGCGAGAGAAAAAAAAACGACTGTCCGTTTTCCATACAATGAGTTCGTTCCGACCAGGGGGTTCAAAAATGTCGTCGAGCTGTCAAAAATCTGTTCACAACTCCGCCCTCTTTGTCAAATTGATACACTCGGTGACTGATTTCGAGGGAGAATAGCGCGTGTTATTGTCTGCACTTGGCTTCGAATCTTGACGCTGTAATCCAGTAATTCTAATTAACAATTAGTTCATGCGTCAGCGTGCGTATGTCGAGATATTGAGCACGCGGGAGAGCACGAAAGAGGCGTAAGAGTTGCACTCGGCTGCGCCTCGTGCAACTCTAGCCTCTTACGGCTGTTGTTTCAAAACACAGTTCGGCGATTTTACCAGTGGATGGATAAGCTTGGAAAATGTGTTTGTTGCGCCTGCCAGAAAAGGGGAAACGTTACCAAAATGGGCCGCCCTACTGAAAAACGAACTTTTCGTTATCCTCGAGGAAGGAGAATCTTTCTCCACAAGAGTTTGCTCTCCGTGCGGAACAAAGGTTAGCCGTGACTGCCCCGGGAAACTGCACGGCGATGCTTTCGCAAATTAGAGAAGAACAGAACACGCTAACTGACAATGTACAATTATTGTGATTGAAAAGAATGAGTAAATCCCCTCATTCTAATCCACTTCTTGGTGATTTAGCTCTTTAAATCACTATCTGTGAGAATTTAAAATCCTGCTAAAAACGCTAACGAGCTGGACCCTGCGTGACAAAACAATTTGCAGGAAAAAGTCACATTCACGGACACAAAGAAAATCGCTTAAAATTATTCAAATCCAGGAGGCACTTTGGAGAAATAAAACAACCTAAAGCCCTTAATCAGCTGCAGTGAAGAGCTTTACATTTCTAAAGGGGCCAAGAAAGAAAATGCTTTTGCATCAGAGGGCAAATCATGCCGACCAGAGAAAATCAATATGCGTGTCACGACCTCTCAGTATGAAATATATTTAATAAGCGGCCAAAATTCACATTTGCTCAGTCAAAACGTTTTCCTCCAAAGCAAAATCTTCCCGACGGAGAAAACAATTCATTGGAACAAGCAGTATTTTGGATTGACGTAAAAGTCGTGTGTTGTCTGCCGATCCCCCTTTTTTACACAGGCGAGATAACAATGACTGTCGGCCGTTGCACGGAACTTGAAGAACTCTTTGCATGAACAAACATCTGATAATTAGGGCTTTTGTCAAATCCTGTTGGCAGGACACAGAAAACATCCTTTCCCCTGAGCAGCAACTCCAAAGATTCCCTTTGCTCCGATTTTAAAACAAATCCCAATAATCCAGGCAATCAACATACACGTCATTTTACAGCGAAAGCTTTGAGAATCTATCTATCACCGTACAGAATATAGCGAATTACTTGTTGAAAACATTACTTGACAGCTTGGTGACAGCTTGCATCGAAATTTAGCCAATGGGAATTGCCTGTGGCTGGGAGAAGCGGGTACAGTGAAACCTCGTGGAATGCTGTAGTGTCGGCTTAATACAGGGCGTCCGCCTGATACAGGTTTCGATAGGTAACATCATATGAGATGTCAAATGCCATTCAAATGAACAGTGGAAACGTTTAGAATACTCTCAGAGACTATGACGATATACGTTTGCATTGATTTCTTTATCAAAGTGAACCAATTGATCATAGTACCATAACTGACATAGATTGCAACTCAAATTTGAAGAAATCAGATGAGTGAAACAAGCTCTGTACAAACAAAACGAAATAGAAACAATACAGTACGGTGAAACTAATCAAATAAGTTCGTCAACTCAAGTTTTTAAATGTAAAAATCGAAAATTTTGGGGTGGCAATTCGAGGCAATCTTTCGCATTTCCGGTGTCTGGCATGTTGGGTGGTGGAATTTAATTACAAGTGTCCGTTTAATACAGGTTGGTAACAATAGAAATGACCATTTCAGGTACTTTTTTGGTGTCCGTGTCCGCTTAATAGAGGTGTCCGCTTAATAAAGGTTTCATTTAAGTTAAATAAGGGAAATAAATTTTGGGACTTCGGCTACTGTCTGCTTAATAGAGGATGTCCGCTTAATACTGGTTTCACTGTATCTGAAATCATCCAACTCCTAATGTCACTGATACAGTCAGTCATGGACTTGATGGCAAAATCAGCGTCCGCAGATCGATTGGGGCTTAATGATACATACAACTGTGTATCTTCCGCGTAGCAGTGAACTTGTGGGAGGTGGCGTTCAACGATCTGAAACAGTTTGCGCGTGTAGATAGTGAAAAGCAAGGGGCCCAAACATGATCCTTGAGGAATACCTTGTTTTAAAGGAAACTTATCTGAGAGACTACCATTTACAGAGACACGCTGGAACCGGTAAGATAGAGACGTTTTAAACCAGGCAAGCCCATTGTCAGTTATTCCCAAATCAGACTAGACGACAAATCAGCTTATCATGATGTATCGTGTCAAAAGCTGCACTTAAATCTAATAATACGACAAGGTGACATGTTGCTCGTCCATAGACATCAAAATATCATTCTTAACTTTAAGTACGGCCGTCTCCGTGCTGTGTTGTTGTTTATACGCCGATTGAAGCTGAGAATGTAAATTGTTGGCCGTCAGATGCTGCCTAAACTGCTCAACCCCAATCAGGAGCTCCGTTTGCCAGGGTACGGAGTTTCCCAAAAGAACAATGATATCGGGTAGGCGTATTTTTTTTCTTCCCTCCCCCTCCCCCCTTTCCTTCTTTCGCCCTCGCACCTACCGTAAGGGTTACTATTTCTACTCTCCCCAATCTTCCACTGTCATAAAATCAAAGATGGCGGCTACAACAATATTACGATCGATTACGAACACGAACAAGGTTTCGCCCAGCCAAAATACGCCTGCACTGCAGGCTACTTTCTCTCAGCTCTCCGCCTAGCCTTAATAGCATCTTTAATTTTGTGGTTAAACCAAGGCACACGCTTTCTATTAGCAACAGACTTAGTTATAGTGTCAACAAAAGGAATCACTGTGGATGATGAAAAATGGATTGAATAATGAAACAGCTTAAATTGTCACTGGAGTTTAAAGCTTATTGAAGCTTTCGGATGACAAGCGACGTAACATGCTTTGAAACGTATAAAAATATAAAAACCATACACTGTTGTGAAACCTGAATAAACTTAATTTACATTGCTTTCTAGACTTTGCTAGCACTCGCATCTTACCGAAAACTTGTCCCACATTAAGCTGAGATCAGGCTCTACTTTCATTTTCCTGGGTAAATAGATTCCAGGCTGGCAAGGCCAATCGAAAAGTCTCCCATTTAGTACAGTACTTGTGAACCTAAATTACGTGTGCTTGCGAATCGAATGTGTAATAATGATTTTTGCCTCACTTTTTGCATGTGAATTCACATGATTACCGTGACATCAGACTGACCTTAAACTCAACACCCGCGCCTTCGAGGCCACATACCATGCATATTAGTCATCTCAAGAATGTGGACAGAATCGGGAAAAATCTCACTATACAGTTAAAAGAGTGCCGCTGACCAAGAATAGGCTGCAGGCTCCTTTTGTCTCTCGCAAATATCTAACTACTAATTGTACATTTACCTACCTTCCACTGAAAATACTTAAGCTGTAGGCAACAAACTACAAACCGGGCCGGCGGGAACATTCAGAACACTCAAATTTCTGAAAGTGTACTTACCGGTAGTTCTAAGAGGGTCTTTATGGAGTTAACCGATAGGCGTAAAACGGCCAAAAATTTAGTCGATAGCCGTAAAAATTGAAAAATTTTAACCGTTAGCCGTAAATAGGGTAAAAAAGAGTTAACCGTAAACTTGTTCCCTAGATTTGTTAATTTCAAGGAACGTGCTAAACTCACTTATGGTTGCGTTATTTATTTCCCGGCTACTCTGACTCCGTACGCACACGTTTAATAGGCCAAGCGCCTTTTAGTTGTGACCTAGACCTAAATTTCATTTCCGCCGTTCTCTTGGGGAACTAATTTTTTCCATAGCGAACATCTGGCTTCTTGCTGGGGATTTTCAGGAGGTCGTTCTCTCGAAATACTAGTGAAACAACACCTAGAGATATCACTGTCTGTAAAACACGTTGCCGATAAACAACAACTCCCTGTTTTTCTCTGACGCTAAGGTAGACATTGCCATGTCCCTGTTCGGCGTCTTCCCACGCAATCTCGGTGAAGGCATTTCGGTGGCGTATCTGAGAAAAAAACTCGCTCGGACAAAGTGACCCGAAACGCATTAGCCGTGCGGAGTAATGAGGCCTATGGACAAGGCAACGGCAGACAATCTTTCTGTACAGTCCTTCGCTATCATTAAAAACACCGGACAAGGGAATTTTGTTATTGGCCGTTTTCAAACAAGAGCTAGAAATGGATTATCCGTCTGAGACTGGCCTGTGCACGGTCGCCCTCTCCCCCACAAACACCCCTTCTCCGATTTTTTTCTGAGAGGAGGGAGCGGCTGTACACAGGCTATCTGAAACGGATAATCCATCTGCAAACTGTCCGTCAAAATTGACGGATAAAGTCAGGCGGATTGTTCATTCAAAATTAAAACCCTTTCCATTTCAAATTAAGACAACGGTATTACCTATCTGACGCGAATTATCAAACGGATAACCCATCTCACACGAATAATCCGTCGCTAGTTTGAAAACGGCCATTTCTGTTATAATGAATGTCTCTCCTTCGCCTTGAGATGGGCGTTCGCGTGTCTGCTTTTGCTTTTTCAGAAAGATTATTTTTAAATTGATTACTGACCAGTTTCTATGCGTAAAATAACTAATATTAAAAATGGAATTCTTTATAAATAGTATGATCCATCAAATGTTAAAAAATTTTCAAAAGAATTTTTATCCCGAAATGATCCTAAGACCTTTATTTTGCTTTGAAGATACAAAAAATACCGTCAGGTTTATTAATATTTAACTCTTTGAAACAACAGAAATCAATTTTTAACTTTTTGTTAACCGTAACTGAAAAAATTAACCGAGAGCCGTAAAAGAGTAAAAATTTTAGCCCATAACCGTAAAAGCCACCACCCTATTGACACCATCTTCTAAGGGTTAACATCCCTTGCCAGCGGAATATAAGTATACAGCAAGCGAAAAGAAAGTCTATTTCTTTACCACCAAAATACTGAACACTAGCTACAGTTATTTTAAGCCTAGGGATTCTCAGAAATGTATAATGGTTCATATAGAATAGAGAAGACCCTCCTGGCCCCTGGCCCTGCTCGGTTCCGACTGAAGTCTAACTCGGTGTGAAAACCTGGGACGTTTATTCCTTTTTACTTCCTATATTTTCCTTAGTATAGCTCAAGTCTTAGTCGATGTAAAAACTTGGGAAGTTTTGGTTTTTTCCTTTTTACCTCCTACTTCTTCCAGTACAGCTATGCTATCTTGATTACTTTGAGTTTCTTTGTGTTATATGCACTTACGAAGAATGCATTCAAGCTCTTTTTAAAATAAACCCGTACGAGGATGAGCCGGGATTAGAAAGATTTCTGTAAGCAGCCTGCTGCCCTTATAATTTAACGCAAATGATGGATATGACTATGAGTACGTACAGTTGAAAGCCCATTAAGCGGCCACCCTCGGGATACACGCAACGGTTCCACAATCGGTCGTTACCTTCTTAACCTCGGACAGTGAGTTTCCTTCATCATATTCGTAAAATAAAGCCAAACTTAGACTGTTAAGTGCTTGACTTCCGCTTAATAGAGGTGACAACAACGGGAAAACTCTCGTTGCAACGGCACAAAGGTGGCCGCGATCGCTTAACCGCTCGATAGGGGTTTAATTTCCCATTCTTTTCTGCAATGATTTCGGGATTTTAATTACTGGCCATTTAATGGAGGATAGCAGCTTAATAGGTGGCCACTAAAGGCTGCATTCATTATGTATACTGCAGGGGGGGTGATGGGGGGGGGACAGACAATTTATTTAAAGGGGCAAAATTTTTTCAGATCCCCCACAACATGCAGAATATTTTGAAAACCCCCTCTTGACCAAAAGAAAAAACTGAAACCTCCCCACCACAACCCACTCTAGACGAGGAAAGTAAAATATAGGCAATATGATGAAATGGTGGAGGTGGAGAGATTTATGTTTCAAATAGAAAACTAAAACAAAAGGTAACCAAAGGCTCACAGATTCTTTTGAAAAAAAAAATGCAAAGAAGAGGATATAAAGGTACAAGCACTCTACTCCCAAATTCCATCTCAAAGCACTTCGGCAACTGAGGGAACTGACTATCTTGAACATGTAGATTGCGCTATAATATAATTTAGAGAAGCAAAGTATTGTTGATGTTGTTAATGCTGCCTATGATGATGGTGCAAATGAAGAGGGTACTGAGAGTTTTTATGACAATGATAAAGTTTAGAGCATGCCTTCACAAAGAAAGTTGGAATGTCCAATTCAAACTCCATGAGTTCTCCGTTAACTCAAAAGTGGATAGAACGCGAGCCCGGTATTTGGGAGGTCATTGATTCGAATCCTGTCGGGGACTCAGATTTTTTTCTTTGTCCCATACTTGTGACACGCTGATCATTTCATTTTCACATTTGTTTCACCGAGCTTAAAATTTACCATCTTTCATTCTTTGAAAGTTGCAATTTGTTTTCAAGCATTCAAGCATTTGTACAGTTTAATAACATTCGTCAGCAGATTTTAAACTGGTGACATGTTTTTCAAGTTGTGTATGCTATTTGAACCATCAAGCACTTTAAGACATTCCAATGTTAATTTGTTTGCATAGGAATACTAATTAAAAAAATACTCTGTATGGCGGTTATGTTAGTTTTAGAGCTCTATTTCAGTCCATTCATTAGTCTTGATTTCAGTGGCTACCAGTGGCGCATCCAGGGGAGGGGCCCGCCCCCCCCTTATTTTTGGACCAAACTGAGGCCCAAAGGGCCGAAAAAAAATTTTTTGGAGACCGCCGCCCCCTCCCCCTTGTCTCAAGGTCTGGCTACTGTCAAACACAGAAATATTGCAATTTTCCAGTAAAAGAAAGATTGAAGTAGTTGTTGTTGACTTAAGAGAAATAAGCTTTACAATAAAAACATTTGACTTTTATAATAAAGTCCTTTAAAGAGCGTATTTATAAGGCAAATAAGCTAGCAAACGTTCTTCAATTAATTAGGATGGTCTTCTTTTATTTAAAAAAATCCACGAAAAAATTATTCTTTTTTAATAAGTGGAGAAACAAAAATTAGCAACCCCCCTCTTTTATGAGAAAGTGGAGAAAAAAAATTAGCAAGCCCCCTCTTCGTCTGTCAAAAAATTTGGTAAACCTCCCTTGTCCCTTTCCAAAAAATTTGAGATCCCCCGCAAAAATCTTCTGCCCCATCCTGCAGTACACATAATGAATGCAGCCTTAAGGTGACTCGACCCAGTTTTTTTGGGGGGTACCATCCTACTTTGAAGCTCTCTGGTATCCCCACCTTTACTTTTATCGTAAGTCTAACACATAGAATGGATAACATATGAATCAATCTACAATATAACATAAACTTTTTGGCGATCGGAGTAAATGTCACGTGGTTATAATGCCACGCCCCTTTGAGGTCTGAGTCGAAAATCTGCTGTTGCCGGCGTTTTTTCGTGAAACTCTCTCGGCTATACATAGTGCGCATTAGTGCCTTGCGCTGAACACAGTTTCGACAAAATCGCAAAGACCCAATTCGAGAAATTCAGCGGTTTCCAAATTTAGGTCATAATTTATGCCAAAATGATAAGCAAACTTTACACGGATTATATCTAATAAACTATGAGATTCATCTCTTCATTTTGGGCATCGTTACAACAGATGGGTCCTTGCAAGTCAGCAAAACGCTTTAGGGCCTTGTAAATGCGCGCGATTTCGAGCAAAGCAAACATATAGAAATTACAGTTTTCGCTATTTGTTGACGTTTGTCAGCGTTTAAGAGTCCTTCTCACGAAAAAAGCATTTTCTTAAAAATTCGTAGTTTTTTTTCCTTCAAATTTTTTCAGGGCCACAATTGATTAACTAACTACCCGGACTCTGAATTTCATGGTCATTGAAAAACTGTGACATTACCTTCTATAAGCCCAAACTTGAGTAAACATTGAAGATTTTTAGCGTTTTGGCTGAGTTTGTGCTTTGGGAGTTGTCTATTGTTTCTAGTCTGTCATTATACAGCATTCTTGTTCAGCACGCGTGCAATGACCGCGCTTGGCTGACTTCCGAATGCTCACCGAGATCTGATAATTTTGGTACAGTGAGACAGGCCATCGCGTGATACATAGAGGTTTAACTCACAATTTTTAATCAATTCTCGTGCTTCTTGTGCCTTTGCAAAAAAATCAAGTGCTACACACTAAATCTACTTACTGTTAAAAAAATATCATTTTTTCATAGGTTTAATGCAAGCCAATAATTAAACGAACTCGTGACGGGAATATCTCGGTGAGCATTCGGAAGTCAGCCAAGCGCGGTCATTGCACGCGTGCTGAACAAGAATGCTGTATAATGACAGACTAGAAACAATAGACAACTCCCAAAGCACAAACTCAGCCAAAACGCTAAAAATCTTCAATGTTTACTCAAGTTTGGGCTTATAGAAGGTAATGTCACAGTTTTTCAATGACCATGAAATTCAGAGTCCGGGTAGTTAGTTAATCAATTGTGGCCCTGAAAAAATTTGAAGGAAAAAAAACTACGAATTTTTAAGAAAATGCTTTTTTCGTGAGAAGGACTCTTAAACGCTGACAAACGTCAACAAATAGCGAAAACTGTAATTTCTATATGTTTGCTTTGCTCGAAATCGCGCGCATTTACAAGGCCCTAAAGCGTTTTGCTGACTTGCAAGGACCCATCTGTTATAACGATGCCCAAAATACAGAGATGAATCTCATAGTTTATTAGATATAATCCGTGTAAAGTTTGCTTATCATTTTCGCATAAATTATGACCTCAATTTAGAAACCGCTGAATTTCTCGAATTGGGTCTTTGCGATTTTGTCGAAACTCTGTCCAGCGCAAGGCTTTAATGCGCACTATGTGTAGCCGAGAGATTTTCACGAAAAAACGCCGGCAACAGCAGATTTTCGACTCAGACCTCAAAGGGGCGTGGCATTATAACCACGTGACATTTACTCCGATCGCCAAAAAGTTTATGTTGTATTGTAGATTGATCTATATGTTATCCAATCCTTGTGTTAGACTTACGATAAAAGTAAAGATGGGGATACCAGAGAGCTTCAAAGTAGGATGGTACCCCCCCAAAAAAACTGGGTCTAGTCACCTTAATGGAGGTTCAACTGTACACAGAGTGGGATGATAACCATGTATGTATGAGTACTAGATTACTGAATGGGCTGAGAGGAAATCCTATATGTTGGGTACTATCACTGAAAAAAGTCCCCTGTGATCTGAAAGATCATAGACAACAAGGCCTTATTAAACAGATATACTTTGACAAAAGTTGGGTCACATGCGTGAGATTTTCGCCTTGCCATGATCGTATGATTTTCGAAAACGTCCCAGTGTCTTCCGAGGATTTCCGATAATTTTCCAAAGCCTTCTAAACTTAACCGAAAACTCCCGAAGATGTTCCGACGACATTTGAACACAAAAGAAAAGACGACAACTTTGGCGTGTTTTAACTGACTTCGTAAGGACACCTCATTCAAAGCCTTTTCTGCCTTTTTGGAATTTTTTTGTGGAAATCGAATTAAATTTTCGTTATTACTCATGTATTAAAAAACAATTTGTCTGGATTTGTAAGTCAGGCGTGAGAAATTGTCCTTGATGCGCGAGATTGATGTCTTTCGGCACAGGTGAAACAAGCATAATCAGCTCCTGTCGTAATGCGTGAGAGTTCGCAGGTATACAACCAAATGCATGTCTAAGGTAAAGGAACCTTGGAATTCTCAGTAGTGTAACTTCAGCTGCAAGCCTACCTCAGTTATAAATTCCCAAGTAGTCTTGATACTTCGCTTGATTTGTCACGACGAAAGGGTCAACGAGGAAATTATATAGTTTAAGTATAAAAGTCAATTGCACTTTCCTTCACAAAATAACAGGACTTGTATAAAACTTACCTAAAGGAATAATCAACCTTTCTTCCAAGAAAAAGTTGAACGTATGGGATTTTTCCCTTCCTTTAGATTTCAGTTTCACTTTTCAAATTACGTCAACAAAAACCGACTGACGTATGCCTCCAGAAATAGCTCCCAAAATGCAGCCATCTAGAAAAATTTGAAAACTAATAAAGCATATGAGGGTCACATTAAATCTAATAATATAGTTATTTTTAAATATTTCCCTTAACGAATAACCAAAAAGCTTACAAAAAGATGTTAAAACAGATGCTGGAGCTTTTGGATGGAATCTTCCACTGAGGAAGTTGATATGCCACGGGCGGTCCAAGCTAGGTGCATAAATTACTACTGTTTTGCATATTACGAACGATTTAAAGACTTTGTATGAGAAATTCAATACAGTTATTAAAACGTAGAAATATAGAAATAAATTGTACTTACGTTAACTTGGGCCTGTTCTTGCTTTTTCTTTGTAACCTGAGCTCAAGTCAAAACCATTTTATACGGTTTTGCGGCTCACTGTTTGTTCCGTGTTGTTTTCCTACAGCGAAGCAAGGCAGGTGTTTCTTCGATAAATGGGATCATGTTTACTGTAGGTAGTGTCAAGGTAGTGTCGATCGATCTATCGGTCGCTGGTCGGTCGACACTCAGTCGATATAGTGGTCGATAGTCGGTCGATAGTCGGTCGAGACTCGGTCGATCGTCAGTCCACAGGCAGCCTAACCTGAGATCAGGCGTCAATTTTTTTTTGCTTCTTTGGCTCGAGAGGAAAAAAAATAACGTCCTCCTCCCGAAAACAGATTACAGAGATAAAGGGAGAGGGCATGATCGCAGGTTACGGGCAGCTCAAACTCTGTGGGAGTTCGTTGGACTTTGAATTTATAAGAGAATATATGAAAACAAACAAGATACATCCTAAATTCCAATTTTGGACAAAAATAGAAATAAAAATGATTTACCAGTTTGTGTTTTGTCATTTACTGTCTCTTCGCCTCTAGAGCCATTTGGAAGCTGTTTTATGTACGTTTAAGATTTTGAGTTGTACGATTAAAGTGTAAGAAAAATGGGAAGGCTGGGAACTCTGAAGCCGACCGTTCCAGTTCGAAGCTCCATAAATCCCCTAAAATGGTCCAGACTCGCCAAAATTGCCGTCAAAGGATCTGTCGATAATTTGTCTTTCCCTTCTACGCTTTCATCACAACCGCTAGCAAAGCGCTTGATTTTAAACTTTTTCCATCAGAGTTTTCTTTCTCGGGATGCGTATGACTGGGCACTTGAACGTGACGTAATTAACGGTCGCTCAAATCTTACGTCACAGCGACAATTTGCCTCCGTCCGGGGGCGGGCACAGTGCATCGCGAGTGTCATCACCCCTCCCCTCGTGTTTCTTTACTTCTAATTTCCCAACCCTTTCCTCTGTGAGTAGGCATGTATCCACGGTGATACAAAAAAAGATGTTATTCTCAGGAGAATATGTTCGCCCCTGATGTAGAGGATTAAAAATATACTCAGCCCGAAGCATGGGATCAATTTTTAAATTTAAAAGTACGAACTAAGACTTTTCCACGAAAAGTTCCTCTTTATGTTAATTGAGTGAGCAAAAAAGATGATTTTTAGGACAGAGAATTTTTTCTTTCGACACCTGAAACGATGCATTTTTAACTTTACGATAAGCCAGCTTAAATATCCAAGTTTGTGGATGAAATCCTAAAATGTCCGTGCCAATTCAAATGAAAGCTGCTGAGCAGTACTTTCCTGTCCAGTCCTGCCGCACTGTTACGGACCGTTAAGAGCAGTTGACGGATCGTACGCTCCGTACAAACCGTCAGCATCGCTAACGGTCCGTATTCTGAGCACATGCGGAGCGTGCATCTCATTATTACATCAGGGCATAGTGTATCACGTGTCGTACGATCCACGACACAGGCAAGATTGGGACTATGACAGCCTTTATTACAAAGTGTAAATAGGTAATCACTCAATAATAGTTACAATATTAAAACAAAACAGGTAATGAAACTAGTTACACTCAAATGGAACAAACAAAATAAAAATGATTGGATGGTCAAGAAAGACCAAGGTATATATAACTTGTAAAACAGATAGACTGTCAGACAAAAAGGAAATGAGTACAAGCAGAAACTAGTCAATAGTACCATCCCTCCCATAGCAAGTGCTGCATTGTTGCGCGAACGCGGTCGCTAAGCTTGAATATTCACGTCGCGTATTATACCTGGTCGTTTGCGGTCATATCGAAGCGTAAAGGTCAACAGTGGTTGTTGATGAGCGAGCAATTATTGTGCAGTTGCGATGGGTTTTGTGGAGCAAGCGAGCCAGAAGCAGGAGCACACGTTACCTGCAGATTAGCCGATGGTTATTTGGAGCGGATTCGTCGATTATTCTCAAATTTATAGCGCTTCGTGTGAAGGCGCGTGGAGATGGTCTGTTTGTTTTGTAGCCAGCCTTTAATTCTTCTTTAGTGGATAGTACCTACAATTGCAAAACTCAATAAAATGCCACTTAAACCGGCCAGGAAAGACAAGGATACGTTCAGTTGAAGGTATCTTAGCTTTGTTTTGTTATATTTTGACGTTTAGACTATTTTAGTCCATGGGAGTTTCGACGACTCATCGCATTAATTTGTCCATGTGAATATAAATATATTCATTCAGTGACACATACTACGTCTGGGCCGCCTGTGCTCTAAACGACAATAAATATAATATTTGTCGCTCTCTGAGCCATAAAGTGAAGCAAGTGCAGTGCATTTCAACAGAAATATTCTTCCCTCTATAAGCATATTCCTCACTGTATATCGGTTACCTACACGAAGATCTAAGTTGTGAAGAGATAGGTGACTGACTTACCAGAGGGTGAAACCTTCTAGGACGAGGCTCCACAGGGTAAATAGTAAACTTTAAGACTAGCCAAGCTAACTAAACAATGACTAAAGTGGAGAAACTGCTTTAAGTACTTGTATTCATACGCAAGCAAACAAATGAACTGTGCGACAGGAAAAGGGGTTACAGTTAAGGCAAAAGATAAAAGGTATCCGGCAAGAGAAATCAGAAAACTTGATGGTAAAACAACATCGGGAACGATGGTGGCAAAGCCCTGTTTGTCTTAGAAAACCAAAACTGTATATAGATTTCCGACACGAAGAACTAAGTTGTGAAGGGAGGGGTGACTGAGAGGGCCACACAGTAAAAAATTTCCAGAGATCGAGACATTTTGGGGAGCTAAGCTCCACTGGCAGCTAAATAGGAAAGCTGACTAGCCGAGTTAACTAAACTGGAGAAACTCAGACTCAGACAGGCTGTTTACGGTTTAGGGAAGCTAAGACTAAATAATAAAGAATTTCTACATTGGCTTTTCATATTTCAATCAGCGAAAGCAAAAAAATTTAATAAAAATAAATTCTCTCTTTACATTCCTCCACCTTAAGTTTCAGCTTTCCTCAGCTGAATGGAGAAAAAATGATGAAAAACGATAACTGGTTTGAAGAGAAGAAACAAAAGCGCAACGAATAAAACTGGAAACTTGTATTTTGCGTTTAGTTTTGAAATTTTTTTAATATTTGTTTTTCTGGTTTTTGAAATTTTGTATTTGATTTTGTGCCTGAACCGCGGCATAAACCGAACTAGCCTGAATATAGGGGCCTCGGGGGTCCAATTAACAAAACAATAAAATAAGCAGATATAATAAAGTACGCTAACTGGAATTTGTAGCGTTTGTGCAAAGGACACGTCTTGAGGTCAATTCATGAGACTTCTTTTTTTGCAAACTTGAGAGGAGCCATCTGGAAAGCGTTCACGCGGTGTCACAACAGGGCTGAAGACGTTGTGAGATAGCACAGTTAAGACCCGAGGTTGCTTTCAATGGGTACGCCTAATTTAGTATAGAACCTTACCCTGTTGCTGGGGTTGTTCCACTTGCCGATAAGATATCTTAGGGTCTTACACTGTCCTTAAAAACCAAATCGTTTGTCAACTTGATATTAAAAAAAGCGCACGTGAAAAAGTTTATGAAATAGCAGTCTTACCCATAACTAAAAGCGAGTAAATGAAAAACTGCAAAATTAATGATTTGTCAATAGACACGTCTAAAATGACTCTGTAAAATATGGTATAATAATGAAAATAAGAATTGACTACTGATTCCTGATGTCCTTCTCAGGTGACTCCTGAACAAGTTACTACCGCAAAGGTGTGCACACGAATAGTCTTCTAAAACAATCTACGAAAAGTACACTTAATTTTCTCTTCGGGATAAGAAGTTCCTACGCGATGAACGCTCCACTTTGTATTTGTTACACAAAGAAAATGAGTTCAACTTCAGGTAGGAACCGCTTCACTGCATTCGCTTCGTACCTATACAACAAAAACAGAAAAAAGCAACATTAGCAAGCTAGCAGAAGTAAAGGATAGCGATTTGAGCCGGCGAGGTGCAATATTCTAAATCTGTTAGAGTAAAAGATAAAATTTAAGCCAGTTAAGAGCCTTATCGTAAATTTATTGATACTTTCATGCCATGAACCCTCTATAAAGCCCCCTTCTCTAATATGTCCCCCCCCCCCACCCCATTTCAAGGAAAGAAAATTCTTAAGCTTCCCTCTCTCTTAAGCTCCCCTCTCCCTATTCTTAAATAACAGATGTATGGTAGATCTCATAATGTATCACGATTGTAACACCTCACGTGGACTAATCTCGTATGGTTTATTCACACCCTGGAAGTTCAAATTTGTTTTTGATCTTCGGCTGTGCGACCTCCAACTTCATATGATTCAGTTTTTGTACTTTGGCTTCTGCGTCTTTATGGAGAATCGATAGTCATACCACAATCTTCTCTTAAATAAGCCTCCCTCTCTATTAAGCTCATCATACTCAGTGGTCAGCGAGAATGATGGCCGCGTTTTTTGTTGGCTCTACCAACCTGACATAATTTCTCACGTAAATCTTACTTTTTCTTTTACAAACTAATCAAACAAGTAACAAACAATGTCTTCAAAAAGAGGAAAGCAAAAAGAAGTTGTGGAAGAGGATTTTGAGGCGTTTGTACGCCACCGGTTGAGTTCAATAAGTGACGACCTAAAAGAAATGAAAGGAACTCAAGTCAAGATTCAGAGAGACATCTTCAAGGTCAAATCAAGAAAAATGAAAGCTCGATTTCAAAACTGAAGGAATCTTTGGATACAAAGCTGGAGGTATTAACAGGACAACTGTATGAAGTTAACACAAGAATCGACCAAATCGAGAACGATATCACCAAGTATGCAAAAGAGATCGATGACACCTACGAGAGATTGTTGTCGCTGGGGAGATATTCTAGGGACTACAATCTGAGATTTTACAACATCCCAGAATCAACAGGCGAAGATTGTATTGCAAAGCTCCGTGATATCATAGAAAATGATCTCCAATTGCAATCAAACATCGAGAACGCCCACCGGATCGGGCCCTTCAAGGATGATGGCACTCCCAGACCAATTTGGCTAAGTTTTTGTATCGTCCGGAACGGTTTAGAGTTATTAAAAAGAAGAGGGATCTACGTGATGGTGTGCGCGTTTCGCATGATATGATATGGGAAGACCGTCAAAAGAAGAAACAATTGAGATCTGTTATGAAAGAGGCATTTGAAGCTGGGAAAAGACCTAGATTTCATCATGGCAAGCTTTATATCGACGGTGAGCTACATCAGGCTTGAGATGTTTGAACAGTATACACTTTTGTTTATGTGTAAGTCCCATCTTAAATGTGTACATTTATCTTAAATTGTTTACTTTTAAATTTCGTCAAGCTAAAACGTTATGCAAATGACCCAAGAGTCCTCTGACCCTGATTTAAATTTACAATTGCTAAATGATCATGGGATTTACACAGTTGAAGAAATTAACGAGTTGTCTCGTATTGTCAAACCTCAATACTCTGTTATTCACTTAAATACAAGAAGTTTAAAACAACATTTCGAACAAATGTGCAATCTTCTGGATTCGATTTCATGTAAGTTTGATTTTATCGGTTGCTCCGAGACATGGTTCACCTCTGAAACTGGTTATACACGTTTTCAAATCCCAGGTTACACTTTACTCAATGAAAATCGCACCTTTTCGACAGGTGGCGGTGTTGCTTTGTATGTCAGATCAGGCTATTCTTTCTCAATTAGAAATGACCTCAAAATAGACTCAATTGAAAACCTATGGATAGAAACTAATGATATGATTGTGCGTGTCATTTATAAACCCCCAAATTTTTCAAACCCAGAATTTCTGGACAAACTCGAAAGAACTCTACACAATGTTTTTCTCTCTAAGAAAAAATGCATTTTAATGGGTGATACTAATATAAATACTCTTACAAACATAGGCGTACGGGCCGGGGGGGCTAGGGGGGCTGCAGCCCCCCCAAAGTTTGGGCAACTCAGATTTTTTGGGCAGCAAGAGAAAATTTGAGCAAAGCCGGTTTTTAAAGACGTTTCCATGTTTTTTATTATTATTATTATTTTGAAGAGATAAATATTTTCTATTTTAACCAGAAGTCGGCGTAATAATTCAGTTACGTTCACGCGAGACAGTGGTTGCCTAACACGTGATGAGTTTCTGGTTATAAGGGAAGGGTATCATATGCTGATTTTTTTTTGTTGGGCACTGTACTGCACTGCACTGGCTGGAATGGGCTATTTCCAGTCGTGAAGTGATTAGAATAAACTTCCGGATAACTTTCTAGAATCACCACCGCTCCTAGAACAGTGTGTGGCAGAACACGCATCAGCAATGGCTCTGAAAGTGAAGTGGCTGACTAATTCTCAGTTTGAATTACGAGAAGAATCTTAATTAGTTTAAAAAAATCTATTGACTGGTTTAAAAATTATTCATTTATTTGTTTAAGTAGACCGAAATGTTTACAAAACCCCTAACAATAGCGCTAATCAAATCCTTCTTTATAGCAATTGACAGGAGCTATCTCCATGATCTTTCACACACGTATTTAAAAAGATTGAAACTACTATGAGGAGGAATTGCATGTCAAAAGCGCTTCGTTTTCTTCAGATTACGACTAAACATCAAGATTTTCCTTTTTTACCTTATTTCTAACAATAAAAACTTCATCCCAAAATATTTCGGTAACGCTCTGACAGTTCCGTTTTAACTTCACGAACATCGAGGCGACTATTGGAGGAAAGAGCTCCCCTGAACGATTTTGTAAGAACAGTTCCCAGTGAGAAATATTGCTGCAAGTATAATAGGTAATGGCGTCATTTCGTTGCTATGACAGCTCCGATGTCATTGCAATCCTGATCGTGACAAATTTCCCTCTTTACCTAATACAACTGTGGTGGCAATTTTTTCCAAATGCTTGTTTGTGGTGACGTAGTTTATGCTCAAACTTGGCAGGTATTAACTCTGAAAAACTGTATCAAGCCACTTTCATATGCCAGTACGGCCTATGTTGTTGCATGGCCCTAGTTTCCTTTCGACCGTTTTGTAAAAATTTGGGCAACTTGCAAGAATTTTTGGGCAAATGGATTACCGCCCCCCCTGGCAAAAAATTGCCCGTACGCCTATGCTTACAAAAACAAGTATCTCTAAGGAATATAGTAATCTAATACAATCAGAAGGATTCAGTCAGCTGATCTTTGAAGCAACACGTATTACTGAAAATTCACAAAGCTGCATTGATCATATCTTTACAAATATTTCGACTTCCTGCTCAAGTGGCAGCCTCGCAGTTGAGATTGCGGATCATCTACCAGTCTTTACTATTTTGTATGACCCGAAATTTGGTCCTTTTCCTGATTATTTCGAATTCAGAGACTTTGGGAGTTTTGAAGATGAAAATTTCAAATTAGATCTACGAAGAGAGAGCTGGGATTCTATTTACAAATGCAATGAAGTAAATGAAAGTTATACCCGGTTCCTCCATATCTTCAATAAAGTAAGTAATATACATGCACCACTTAAAAAAGCCAAGATTACACACAAAGCATATAAACCGTGGATTACTTCTGGTTTAAAGAAATCTATGAAAGTTAGAGATAAATTATACAAGAAATGGCTTATTACTCGAAATTATGTTTTCCTAAACAAATATAAACTAGATCGCAATAAAATTGCTATCATTAATAAGATATATCGTGACTGCTCTTATGACATATTGATCAAATCAGATAACACGAAAAAGATGTGGGATAACATCAATTTATTGATAAATAAGAAGCGGCCAAGTTCTCACATAGAAAAACTACAAGTGGATAATAAACGATATGAACAATCTTCAACTATCTCCAACTGCCTTAACGATTTTTTTTGTAATGTTCCTTCTACACTAGCAGCACAACTGCCTAAATCTGATAAGAGTGCAACCTCTTATCTTTCTCAGAAACGAAAACAATTTCGCTTCGCACAAGTCTCTGAAATAGAGGTATTCTTATTACTAGAAAGTCTTGACACAAACAAGTCGTTTGGGATTGACAAGATTCATACACTATTATTAAAAACTGCAGTACTTCAAATATACCGTCCTTTAACATTTATTTTTAATCTTTCCATCAACAAAGGCATTTTTCCTGATAGTATGAAATTTGCTTAAGTTGTTCCAATTTTTAAACAAGGCTCTCGTTTTGCATGTAGTAATTATCGACCTATCTCAGTTCTCTCTTCCATAAGTAAAATATTTGAGAGATGTATTTTTAATCAGCTGTTGTTCTATTTTACGAATAAAAATATGATTTCACCAAAACAATATGGATTTAGACCAGGTTTTACAACCTCTGATTGTCTGATTGACCTTATTGAAGAAATAACCTCCTCTCTTGATAAAGGACTTTTTGTGGTTTCTTTATTCTTAGATTTAAGTAAAGCATTCGATACAGTAAACCATCAAATATTACTAAATAAACTTAAGTACTACGGATTACAACAAAGTGAATACAAATGGTTTCAATCCTACTTAAATAATAGGAAACAGCAGGTGCATGCAAATGGTGTTGCTTCCGATACACGTTTTGTCTCCACTGGTGTGCCTCAAGGATCGATACTAGGACCTTTGCTGTTCATTATTTTCATTAATGACCTTCCAAAGTCTTCCACCGTTTTTTTCTACCAGATTATATGCAGACGATACATCTCTAACAGCTTCTGGAAGTGATCTTGACAGTTTATTGTGTGAAATTAACAATCATTTACCAGCTGTCTACGAATGGTTATGCAGTAATAAATTGACCTTAAATTTGACAAAAACTAAGTTTCTTATCTTTATGCCTCGTCAAAAGGAAAGCTACAATCTTTATCCACCACTAACCGTAGCAAATGTTCATCTAGAGAAGATCTTTTATGTAAAATATCTTGGTGTGTATATTGATTGTCACCTTACTTGGCATGACCATATTGACTACATATGTGGCAAAATTAGCAAAAATATAAATATAATGGTTAAGTTGAATCATTATGTATCAAAAGCAACACTCATTAGTGTGTATTATTCTCTTATTTATCCTTACCTTACTTATGCTTGTACACTTTGGGGAAATAATTATAACGCTCCATTGTCTCAAATCGTAAAGTTACAAAACAAAGCGGTTCGTGTTATAAATGATGTTCCTTTAATGGAATCAATAACTCCACACTACGCATCCTTAGGCCCTCTGAAATTTCCTGATATTGTTAAACTGAACACATGTATGCTTTTTTCCACCATGAAAAGTTTCCTGATATACCTGTTTCATTAGTATCTGAACTACATAATTACAGTACCCGCAGTGCATCATCCAATCAAGTTGCAATACCTTTATTTCGCATTAATCTTAGGAGATTTTGCCCCAGCATTATTGGAAGTTTCTTTTGGAACGATATTCCGCAATCCATTAGAGACAAACCATCTAAAAAAAATGTTTAAAAAAGCACTTTCACGCTGGTACCTGGCTCAATACTAATGAATCAATATCCCTTTTATAACTTTCTGAGCTATTTGTCATTTTTCCTTTACTTTTTTATTAATAATCTTAAGTCCTTTGTTATACATAACTTTAAGGAGCACAATATTAGTTTATCTAGATGTGCCCCTCTCCTCTCGTTCCAATATACAATGTAATTCAATTTAAGTGTTGTAATAACTATTTTACGCGGTTTTTTCCTTTGTAAATCTTTATCTGTTACTATATTATTTTTCTCAGTTATTTTACATAACTATGTATCAGCTAGGAATTAAAGGAATAAATAAATAAATAAATAAATAAGCTCGCCCCTTAAACATGCTTGAAAGAAATAAGTCCCGGAAGGGGGTGGCTTAATAGAGGATTTACGGTAGCTTCCTACATGTCTCTTTCAGCCGGTGAGAATCACCTCTCTTGCATCTTATAACCGATCACTCATCAATAATACAAAATCATTTTTCCACCCAAAGCACCATACCTGGAACCACCGTCCATTAGCGATCAGCAATTATTGGCATTTTAGGTGGTCCCTTAAGGTGGCTCCGTAATTAATACAAGAGCATTTAACTGTGACAAATTGTCCGTCATAACTTTTTGGTTTTTAACGCGATGGCTGCGAAACTTGGCAAAGAACAACAGATATCAATCGGCAATAACACAAAATATTCCGATTTCACTGATGGTAAATATTTCTTGAGAAATTAGTGCTTAAAAGGACCCTACTGTTCAAAGAAAATCGCGTCTAGTAAAAAATTTTGCTGATATTTTTTACTGAAATTTCTGGTATCGGCTTTAAAGGATATAATAAATATGCCAGAGGAATTTCAGAAAAATCGTTGGAGCAGAAGTCCGTAACTAAAAGTCGGTCAAAATTCAGCTGTGAAATTGTTTTGGAATTTCAAAAATAAATTACTATCAGAAAGAAGGAGCCACCAGTTTGAATTTTCGGGACAAGTAAATTCAACGCTTGCTAATTCTTAAAACAAAAGCCGATTGCCTATCGTGCTATTCTTTGAAAGGTTCTTTTTAGTTTTAGAAGAACTATAAATTGCTCCAAACCTTGCTCTGAAGTAGAATGACTTGTTCGTCGACAGTTTTAAAATATCCCTTGGCAGTTTTGGCTCAAACTCCCGCTGCATACATTTTGAGGTATTGCCATGCATTTTCAACGACTTTTACTGCCGTTCGTTGCTTCCAACTCAGGAAAAAAGTATTGAGATTGGACGCTACCTCGTATCAGAGCTCAGAAAGAACTGTCCAGCACCTTTGTTTATGACTACAAAATGAGCACGAGCGGCAGTTCTGCGTGGAATTCGCACCTCACCCAGGGGGGACGAACGACAATGATGACCATGCTTGTGATCCAAATAACATCACAGTGCAAAATAAAATTATCGCAAAAATACTGCCCGTTAATAAATTTACAACTCCGAAATTTTTGTCACTCCTTCCTTCAATGAATGGGTATTTTTTTCTTGATTATTATGTTTTGCTCTGCAAGGGCATCATTGTCACTCGTCCCCCCTGGTTGAGGTGCGAATTCCTCGCAGAGCTGCCGCTCGTGCTCATTTTGTAGTCATAAACAAAGGTGCTGGACAGTTCTTTCTGAGCTCTGATACGAGGTAGCGTCCAATCTCAATACTTTTTTCCTGAGTTGGAAGCAACGAACGGCAGTAAAAGTCGTTGAAAATGCATGGCAATACCTCAAAATGTATGCAGCGGGAGTTTGAGCCAAAACTGCCAAGGGATATTTTAAAACTGTCGACGAACAAGTCATTCTACTTCAGAGCAAGGTTTGGAGCAATTTATAGTTCTTCTAAAACTAAAAAGTACCTTTCAAAGAATAGCACGATAGGCAATCGGCTTTTGTTTTAAGAATTAGCAAGCGTTGAATTTACTTGTCCCGAAAATTCAAACTGGTGGCTCCTTCTTTCTGATAGTAATTTATTTTTGAAATTCCAAAACAATTTCACAGCTGAATTTTGACCGACTTTTAGTTACGGACTTCTGCTCCAACGATTTTTCTGAAATTCCTCTGGCATATTTATTATATCCTTTAAAGCCGATACCAGAAATTTCAGTAAAAAATATCAGCAAAATTTTTTACTAGACGCGATTTTCTTTGAACAGTAGGGTCCTTTTAAGCGCTAATTTCTCAAGAAATATTTACCATCAATGAAATCGGAATATTTCGTATTATTGCCGAATGATATCTGTTGTTAATTGCAAAGTTTCGCAGCCATTGCGTTAAAATCGAAAAAGTTATGACGGAAAATTTGTCACAGCTAAATGCTCTTGGGTTAATTACGGAGCCACCTTAAGGCAGGTTCTACTTTATAAATGTTTCCATGGAACGAACTCAAACAGGGCCACCGACAATTTGTAAGGTGCAGAAATGTTCTCGTGTTTAACTGCCTAAAGAAATACCAAAGTCAGAGTCCTTTTTAACTGAACATAACCTGTTATTGGCAGATTGATGTTAAGTGGCACCGGTTAAGATTCGTTGCCCTATAAAATATCTGTTACGTTTAAGCACTTGATATGATCCCAGGTTTAAATACATCCCAAAATACCTTGCTATTTATTTGATGCCCTCAACCTCGAGCGTTACGTCGTCACCAATGAGAACAAACGGCGCCCAGTACCTCACTGCACTAAAGCGGTCAGATTCTCTCATGGATTTCATGGCTTTATTCAGGGCCTCACTGGCACTTCGTCCATGGACTATGTGTTGGTAGAAAACTTTCATGAACTCCATAGTAGCTTCGTCGTCGATCGCCCACAGGGACACCAGAACAGAACGAGCACCAGCACCTAAAAAAGCACGTGCGATGCCGACCACACCCTCAGATTTCACTTCTCCCCGAGCACTATGACAACAGCTAAGTACAACAAGTCTTGCCCTAATCTGTGCCTTTAGAACATCTTTCATAGTTAAGAGATAGTCCTCCCTGGCTGGATTCACGGATGAACGTGTTGTGTTCGGGGCCAAGGCAATTTCTCCTGTTTCCATTTTACCGTGAGCAGCAATGTGCACCAAAGCAACCGAGGAGATACGTCTCAAAACTTCATCTTTTGTTGCCTGTTTTCCAACGAGAGGTACAGTTTGAAGTATTTCCCCAATCATTTGCACTTCTTTTTCGGCCCACTCTAACTGCTCTAGCGTCCTTCCTTCATAAACTACCTCCTGTACCCACGGATCGCCGACCAGAAGAGCGCCAGTCTTGCTGTGCCAATCTGCTGGACTATTTTGGATTAATCGGAGACTAGAAAGTGAGGGAAGCAGACGAATTCTGAAAGTTTCACAGAGGTACTTTGATTTCAAGTCCATTAAAGCAGCATAAGGCGCCAAATACAGAGGTCCTTCTGGAACGACAACAACCTCATCGCCCTGGAGTAAGTCTCTTATAGGGTCTATAACAGCATTGTAAAATGTTTGTAATGGTTTTGTCTCAAAACATGAAGGATGAGACTTTGCCGTAATGGATCTTTCTTCTGCTAATTTTTTATCGTATGGGTTCCTTAACGAGCGATCTTCACAATTAACATCAGCTCTCACACCTATTTCTTTATGTATTGTTTCCAAAAGAGACTGAAAATGGTTTGTAGCAGGAATAACAATCTGGCTTCTTCTAGTTTTGATTTCTTTTCCATTCTCGCTCACCCAGAGAACTATTCCTCCTTCGTAGATAGCTATAAAAGCTGTATTTGAAGGTACGTAGCCAGGAAAGTCACTTGGTCTTGCAGAAAGTGTTCCTATTTCGCAGCGTAGCCCTTTAAGGCCATAATTAAACTCCAGAAGATCGTTTAGAGCCTGTGCACGTCCATGATCAGCAGTTAAAAGTGCCTCAATGACTTTACCTTCCTTAAACTGCAGCCCCCATAGACTCAAATTAATATAATCATACGTATTCGCTAGGCTTATCTTCCATTCGTCATTAGATATGAGATTTCCCCTGATGTGGTCGAAAGCTGTAACACTCTTCTCATAATACTCTAAGGCTTTCTGGAAATCTCCAAGACTGTAATAGGCGGTGCCAAGATGACCGTACGCTCTTCCTTCTCCTGCCATGTCTCCCACTTCTTTCGAAATTATCAGCTCTCGTTCATGGTACTCTATGGCTCTCTGGAAATCTCCAAGGCTGTCATAGGCGTTGCCAAGATTACCGTACGCTTTTCCTTCTCCTGCCCTGTCTCCCACTTCTTTCGAAATTTTGAGGTCTCGTTCATGGTACTCTACGGCTTTCTGAAAATCTCCAAGACGGTCATAGGCGTTCCCAAGATTACCGTACGCTTTTCCTTCTCCTGCCCTGTCTCCCACTTCTTTCGAGATTTTGAGGTGTCCTTCATGGTACTCTATGGCTTTCTGAAAATCTCCAAGACGGAGATAGGCGTTGCCAAGATTACCGTACCCTCTTCCTTCTCCTGCCCTGTCTCCCACTTCTTTCGAAATTTCGAGGTATCGTTCATGGTACTCTATGGCTTTCTGAAAATCTCCAAGACTGTCATAGGCGTTGCCAAGATTACAGTACGTTTTTCCTTCTCCTGCCCTGTCTCCCACTTCTTTCGAAATTTTGAGGTCTCGTTCATGGTACTCTATGGCTCTCTGGAAATCTCCAAGACTATTATAGGCGTTGCCAAGATTAGAGTACGCTCTTCCTTCTCCTCCCCTGTCTCCCACTTCTTTCGAAATTTTGAGGTCTCGTTCATGGTACTCTATGGCTTTCTGAAAATCTCCAAGATTTCTAAAGGCGTTGCCAAGATTACAGTACGCTTTTCCTTCTCCTGCCCTGTCTCCCACTTTTTTCGAAATTTTCAGATCTCGTTCATGGTACTCAATGGCTTTCCGGAAATCTCCAAGACTGTTATAGGCGTTGCCAAGATTACCGCACGCTCTTCCTTCTCCTGCCCTGTCTCCCACTTCTTTCGAAATTTTGAGGTCTCGTTTATGGTACTCTATGGCTCTCTGCAAATCTCCAAGACTGTGATAGGCGTTGCCAAGATTACAGTAAGCTCTTCCTTCTCCTGCCCTGTCTCCCACTTCTTTCGAAATTTTGAGGTGTCGTTCATGGTACTCTATGGCTTTGTGAAAATCTCCAAGACTGTCATAAGCGTTGCCAAGATTACAGTACGCTTTTCCTTCTCCTGCCCTGTCTCCCATTTCTTTCGAAATTTTGAGGTGTCCTTCATGGTACTCTATGGCTTTCTGAAAATCTCCAAGACTGTGATAGGCGTTGCCAAGATTACAGTACGCTCTTCCTTCTCCTGCCATGTCTCCCACTTCTTTCGAAATTTTGAGGTCTCGTTCATGGTACTCTATGGCTTTCTGAAAATCTCCAAGACTGTCATAGGCGTTGCCAAGATTACAGTACGCTTTTCCTTCTCCTGCCCTGTTTCCGACTTCTTTCGAAATTTTGAGGTATCGTTTATGGTACTCTACGGCTTTCTGAAAATCTCCAAGATTTCGAAAGGCGTTGCCAAGATTACAGTACGCTTTTCCTTCTCCTGCCCTGTCTCCCACTTCTTTCGAAATTTTGAGGTGTCGTTCCTGGTACTCTATGGCTTTCCGGAAATCTCCAAGACTGTTATAGGCGTTGCCAAGATTACAGTACGGTCTTCCTTCCCCTGCCCTGTCTCCCACTTCTTTCGAAATTTTGAGGTCTCGTTCATGGTACTCTATGGCTTTCCGGAAATCTCCAAGACTGTTATAGGCGTTGCCAAGATTACAGTACGCTCTTCCTTCACCTGCCCTGTCTCCCACTTCTTTCGAAATTTTGAGGTCTCGTTCATGGTACTCTATGGCTCTCTGGAAATCTCCAAGACTGTCATAGGCGTTGCCAAGACTACAGTACGCTCTTCCTTCTTCTGCCCTGTCTCCCACTTCCTTCGAAATTTTGAGGTCTCGTTCATGGTACTCTATGGCTCTCTGGAAATCTCCAAGACTGTCATAGGCGTTGCCAAGATTACCGTACGCTCTTCCTTCTCCTGCCTTGTCTCCCACTTCTTTCGAAATTTTGAGGTCTCGTTCATGGTACTCTATGGCTTTCTGAAAATCTCCAAGACTGTCATAGGCGTTGCCAAGACTACAGTACGCTCTTCCTTCTCCTGCCCTGTCTCCCACTTCTTTCGAAATTTTGAGGTCTCGTTCATGGTACTTTATGGCTCTCTGGAAATCTCCAAGACTGTCATAGGCGTTGCCAAGATTACCGTACGCTCTTCCTTCTTCTGCCCTGTCTCCCACTTCTTTCGAAATTTTGAGGTGTCGTTCATGGTACTCTATGGCTTTCTGAAAATCTCCAAGACTGTCATAAGCGTTGCCAAGATTACAGTACGCTTTTCCTTCTCCTGCCCTGTCTCCCACTTCTTTCGAAATTTTGAGGTCTCGTTCATGGTACTCTATGGCTTTCTGAAAATCTCCAAGACTGTCATAGGCGTTGCTAAGACTACAGTACGCTCTTCCTTCTCCTGCCCTGTCTCCCACTTCTTTCGAAATTTTCAGGTCTCGTTCATGGTACTCTATGGCTCTCTGGAAATCTCCAAGACTGTCATGGGCGTTGCCAAGATTAGAGTACGGTCTTCCTTCCCCTGCCCTGTCTCCCACTTCCTTCGAAATTTTGAGGTGTCGTTCATGGTACTCTATGGCTTTCTGAAAATCTCCAAGATTTCGAAAGGCGTTGCCAAGATTACAGTACGCTTTTCCTTCTCCTGCCCTGTCTCCGATTTCTTTCAAAATTTTTAGCTGTCGTTCATGGTACTCTATGGCTTTCCGGAAATCTCCAAGACTGTTATAGGCGTTGCCAAGATTACCGTACGCTCTTCCTTCTCCTGCCTTGTCTCCCACTTCTTTCGAAATTTTCAGCTCTCGTTCATGGTACCCTATGGCTCTCTGGAAATCTCCAAGACTGTCATAGGCGTTGCCAAGATTACAGTACGCTTTTCCTTCTCCTGCCCTGTCTCCCACTTCTTTCGAAATTTTGAGGTGTCCTTCATGGTACTCTATGGCTTTCTGAAAATCTCCAAGACGGAGATAGGCGTTGCCAAAATTACCGTATGCTCTTCCTTCTCCTGCCTTGTCTCCCACTTCTTTCGAAATTTTGAGGTCTCGTTCATGGTACTCTATGGCTCTCTGGAAATCTCCAAGACTTTCATAGGCGTTGCCAAGATTACAGTACGCCCTTCCTTCTCTTGCCCTGTCTCCCACTTCTTTCGAAATTTTGAGGTTTCGTTCATGGTACTCTATGGCTTTCCGGAAATCATCAAGTCTGTAATAGGCGCTGCCAGGATTACAGTACGCTGTTCGTTCTCTTGCCTTATCTCCCACTTGTCTTGATATTTTGAGGTCTTGTTCATGGTGGTCTATAGCGTTCTTGAAATCTTTGGCGTCGCTAATATGACTATTTCCTTTTTCTTCCTCTCTCTTCTTTCCAACTTCATTGGCAATCCCGTTGTTTTCAAGATTACAATTAGCCTCTGTTTGTCCTTTCTCAGCCATTCCAATAATGAATTCGAGATAAGATCTACTGCTTTTCAAGAAGATAGTTGTGGCTGTGACATTTTTGCTGGCCTTGCTATTTCAGCTCCTCTGCAAAAAAGTATACTAGATATGTTGTGGTTTGATTCTTTTTCTCTTTATGTACGACGACGTACGATAACGGAGATTAAAAGTAGAATTAAAACCCAGCATAAAAGCTTACTTAGAATTCGCTTAGAATTCGCTCCTGTATTATTTGATTTTTTCTATCGCAGTTGCATTTGGTTTTCCACAAATAGTGAGCCTTCTACGTGTTTTTTGGCGTTGTGTAATATGACTTGATGGTTTGGGGTCTTCTTTAAAAAAAAGGAAAAGACATTCTTTTTGGTAAGAATGATCGAAATTCAAAACGATAAACAGATTTACCATTGTTTAAACATGGTATATATAAGTTATCTATCTACTCATTGTACTCTTATCTATTTTTTAGGGTCTCCCAGGGGTTTGGGGAAACAAGGGAACATTGGCAAAATATCGAAGGGAACAAGGGAACATGAGTCTATTTTTAGGGAAGAGGAACATAACTGTACAAATTAGACGACGAAAACATTTTGATATAAGAAATAAATATATGTTATTCACCGGCTGGGAGGTCCGTATTGGGAGAAACTGTGCCCGAGGTCTTGAGTACCGCCCGAGGCTGTATGAATTATATTGATGTTCAAGCAATCACTTTTGTGACAGTCATTTTTGATTATTGAGTAGAATTTTATTTTCTTGTTATTTGTTATTAGATCATATTGGTGTGAACTCAGTTCTTCACTTTTAGTTAATTGGACATTCTTTATATATGTTGAGGAGTTGTTATCATTTAAATACAATTCATTGAGATTGAATTGTTGCATAGGGTATTAACTTTTTTCATAATACTCATATGGTTTTCTTAACCATATCTTTGGATATTTTTAAACAATGCTTGGCTCATAATGATAATCTTGTTTGTTTTCTAAATGTATCCAAAATTTGATAATATTTACGTTAGTTATTTCCTTCAGTGGTAGTCGTCCAAGTTCATTTCTGTATGCAACATTTGGACACTGTTTATTCACACCTAGAACTTGTTTACCGAATTGAATTTGTGTTTTCTCTATTATTTCATTTTCCCATGAATTATAATCATCTTTATCGTAGATGCTCCAAACCTCAGAGCCATACATCAGAATTGGGAGATACAGCGAATTAAATAATCTGTTAGAAATATCTATTGGAAGTCTGACGAGTGTTAAGGACATATGCAATTCTTTGAAAGAAGGCTTCGTTAATGACAAAGTTATTGAGATGACAGAGAACGAATTTATACATTATCAATCTCACGTGATCAGTCATGTAGAATCAGTCACCATCGAAGAAGCCAGGGAATGTGTAGGGGAAGACCAAGAACAAACAAATATCACATTCAGAAGATCAAGAGGAGCAAGGAAGAGGGCAAATTTTGACGAGTTTATGTGTTACGATGATTGACCAGGAGAGTTAAGGTCAGTTCTAATGCTCACCCACTCTGATGGATTGTGAATTTCGCTCAAATGCTTGAGATGATGTCACACAAATTGAAGTTTTGTTTTTGGTGTCTTTTTTTTGCGGGAGGGAATTGAGGGCGGTGATAAGTGGTAAGCAAATTTATTAAAAGGGAACAAATAAGGAAAACGTGTGGGAACATGGGAACATAGGATAATTTTGCAAGGGGACAAGGACCCCCTCTGGGAGACCCTCACCTTTCACCGAAAATACTAAAGTCGTAGTTGCAAGGGTTAACATCTGTTGCTAGCGGAATACAAGTCTAAAGCAAATGAAAAGAAAATCTCTTTCTAAATATACTACCAAAACACTGAGAAAGTACAGTTATTTTAAGCTGGTGGATTTTCAGAAATTTATAATGGTTCATATAGAGTAGGAAAGACCCTCCCCCCCCCCCCCCCCCGGCCCCTGGCCCTTGCTTGGCTCCAGCTTAAATCTTACTCGGTGTAAAAACCTGGGAAGTTTTTCGTTTTTTCCTTTTTAACTGCTGCTTCCCTTAGTACAGCTCTGCTATCTTGACTTCTTTGAGTTCCTTGTGTTATATCACTTAGGAAGATTGCAAGTTCTTTTTCAATACATCCGTTCGAGAATGAGCCGGATTAGAAAGATTTCTGTTTGCAGCTTGCGCTTACAATTTAATACAAATGATGAATATGACTATGAGTAGGTACAGTTGAACGTCCATTAAGCAGCCACCCTCGAGATACCAGCCAGGGTTAAGGGAGGTTCGATTCGTCGACCATGTCATAAATGGGCATCATCATAGACTTTATAACCGAGCGGAAACATCACTTTATTTTAAAACAAACACGCAACGGGGGCAGCATTACTGGTCCTCAATCGGTCGTCACCTTCTATCTCGGACTGTTTTCTTTCGTCATATTCTTAAAATAAAGGCAAATTTAGTTCATCAAGTGCTCTTAGTGATAGCCGCTTAATAGAGATGACAACGCAGGCCCGTAGCAGGGGGAGGGACAGGGGGGGCTCGAGCCCCCCCAGAAATTTTCAGACTTGAATCACTGCTGCAAAAGTGGAATTTTTCTACTAAAATGGACAGCTGTCAATGGAATCTAAAATTTCAAAGTATTGTCGATCATAGTAAGATTATGTACTGTTGTCCTTCTGTGCAATTTTGGAATTGTGTAAATGAGCGAAATCGTATTTTTGCTCTGCCCGCAAAACAACCAACAGCTTTAAAATAACTGCTTATTAAACATCAAAATAGTCAGAAGCAAAATGGATCGAAATGCACCAATGACAATCCCTGAACGTGACCTCTTGAACTTTATTGGTTTCCTAAGAGGTTCGCCAGTGTAAAATATACTATTGCACTAGAGTCGTACCAGAGTAAAACTTAGGTGTTTGCGCGTTTATATTGAAAGTCTTATAATGTCTTCGCAAGAGCCGCCGAAAAAGAAATCCAAACAAGTCGAAAATAAGCAGGGAACACTTTTATTGTGGGTATAAAACCATGCACTAGTTACACAGAGCCTGGTGTAGTCGAAGAAACAATCCGGAAATGAAAATGATTTGGAGCCATCGACAACAATAGCTGGCAAACAGGAAACGACAAAGAGGCAACTCAGCCCTCCAGATCAAGTCTTTGTTAACGTATCAGATAGTCCATTTGCGCTCAACAACGGGAGACTCTAGACTGAACCACCTCATGATGTTATACGTTCACAAGGACAGAACAGATGCTCTGACCCTTGTAGACGTAACTAATGATTTCGTTGGGGAGAAAGAAAACCAAAAGCAATTGTCTGCCAAATTTTCCGCGAAAGATATCCCAAACAACTTATCCATTTCGTCAAAGTCAACACAAACGGAAAACAAAATGTATTGTAGACAAATGTAGTGATTTGATATGTACCAAAAAGTATGCTTTAAAAAAGGGGCCGAAGCGGGGGAGGGGGGGGAGGTTAATGTGGGCCACTCGCTCAGCCCCCCCAGTCATTTTATGCTTGCTACGGGCCTGCAACGATAGGAAAACTCTCGTTGGAAAGGCAAAAAGGTGGCCGCGATCACTTCATAGAGGTGGCCGCTCAATAGAGGTTTAATTTCCCATTCTTTACTACAATTATTTCGCGACTTTAATTACTGGCCGCTTAATGGAGGTTTAACTGTATCCCGAGTGGGATAAGATGGATGCTTCAGTAATAAATCAGTGAAAGGGCTGAGAGGAAATTCCCGGGGGGGGGTACTTTAGGAATTTCTGGGTGGGGATGTGCCGCCGGGACCCTGGAACCCTTAACCTATACCAGAGCTAGTTCAGCTAAATTTTGCTACCCTATACTAGAGTAAACTCCCCAAATCCCCCCTATCCTAGAGTAGTTGTTTCCCTAGTCTAGATAAAAACTTGAACCAACTGATGAGTTTTCTGACAAATGATGCCCCATTCTAGACCCAAATGTTCTGATTTGTATACCCTATCCTAGAGTAAACTGTTTGAAAACCATACCCTTTACAGGGGCACATACCTATATAGCAAGAGAGGATAAAGGGGACAGAGAAGGCATCCCCCATACACACCCTATTCCATAGGTAATTCGTCTCAAGTTATTTTTAGAATCGGGATAAAGTTACCTCGCGCGCTGCGTGGATGTTTCGTGGAGGTTTCGCATGACTAAACTCCGTGCAAAACATGTCGGGCGAAAGGCAATGAAAGCGTAAAGAGATCGAGAGCATTTCTGAATATTGAAGCGAAATGAGTCGGCGCTCACCTGGGAAAACGGAATCGCTAGACTTTTTGACAACCCGTAAAATCAGTTTAACTCGAAGTTTTCGTAACTTCAGTGCTTTAATAAAATGAGAAATTTCGC